GGGGGTAACTAAGGTAGTTAGGGGGAGGTTTGCCCAGCAAAGCGAATAAAGATGAAAGAACTAACCATCTCTAAGGCACAGGCAGTGGGAAAGGCAGCAAGCCGATTTCCACCGAAAAGCTCACAAGCTGCGACACACATGATGGGTGGGGACCTTTTGGTACCCTTGGCGAGGACAGAGTAGCGCATTGCCTCATAAATCTGATTTGGGTACTTAACTGGAACCGCCTCATCAAGTTTCTGGTTGATATCAGTAATTAGAGTTGTCCAATAAGTCTTAAGATCAAACTTGATGGACTCAGACGCTGTCGAAACAGAAGAAGAGCACCGAATTGTTTTCTGCATAACCATGCGGCTCCTTGAAAGAAATAAACTAGGTGAACAGCTCATCACCATAGAGAAAACCATAATTGATCTCTGTTTTCTTCTCTTTCCTTGATAGCTTCCTGCTAATATTCACAACCATCTGAGATAATTTGCAGTTAATTATGCATATTATATTACCCAACGAGCTTTCTCCACACAATCATCAACATTTGAGTGCAACAATGAAGTAAATACATTCAACATGCAAATCAGCACTGCCTAAATTACACTTTTTTTAGTTTAGTGACATCTTCCAACCATCATTGGTTACAGTTACGGCACTCAGAGCCTCAGACAATAAACACTAATCAAACGGGAAAAACAAAATTTGAAAAATAAGCAAAAATATCAAGATTGCTACTAAAAAAACAAACATGTTATACACAAGCTGGAATTACAAAATTACTGCCAAGTGTTCCATCACTTCACCACATCACACTATCAACTCTTCATCCCAAAAGAACACGGCAGACAACACAAAGTAATTAACTATTAGCAGGAAATGAAATATCTCCCATCTTGCAGACAAGCTTACACAGACCACATGGAAGAGTGAACATGACCCAATTTACTAAACGTATCACCCTGAGTCCAACTGATGGCCTAATCAATTAATCACAGTTTATCCTTCTTGCTCACCATTTAAAGTCTAAGGTGGCTAATATTCATCAATAAATCACTTACCCCTCAACCCCAAATTAGTTGGGGTAAGCTAAATCAACCTTTTTATCCATTCCGCTCTATGTATTCAAAGAACTCATCGTGGTTAGACTATCATTAGACTTAGAGGTTGTTAGTTATGGGTTCATCTGAACTCATGAACCAAATCGCTTTGGCTCAAACTCTATATATGTGTTAAAAACTTCACTACATAAGTACAAATCATTGATTCCCAACCCATTTAGAATCCTGAACTCGACCCATAAAATTCAAACCCTGAATCCACCTCCATGTAGACTGGCTCGAACACTTCATGTGTATCCCGAATTCCATTCCGCTCTATGTTTTCAAAGAATTCATCATAGTTAAGACTATCATTAGACTATGGGTTTGTTACTTACATGTTCATCCGAAACCTATGAACGTGAACCCAATAACTTTGGCTCATACTCTACATAAGTGTTAAAAATTTCACTAAACAAGCACAAACAATTACAATTCCCAATCCATTTAGAATCCTCATGTCGAACCCATAAAATTCAAATCCTGAATACACCTCTAGTTAAACTACTCATCAACCAATCGGAACCCTCCTACTTTACACCAATACAACATCGCCGAGTTCTAAGGAGTTAATTAGAAACAAAGAAATTAAACTTGTTGGAAATTTAACAAGGAGTTAACTACTGTAAAAAAAAGTTTTTTTTTTGGAGAGATTCAAGAGTTGTACCTTAACAGCAACGGGGAATTTGATTCGCCGGTGAATCTGCTCTCCGGCGCCGGCGAAATCGGCTTATCTACTCTCAGTTCTCAGTAATTTCTATCTATTTAGTTCGGATCTCAGATTGTGTATGTTAAACGGCTTTTAGTTCAGATTCGTTAAATAACTATCAATTCTTACCAAATGGAAATAATGTGCCAATACCTAAAATATGA